ACTGTGCCCCCGGGCTACGGGGCTGCCATGGTGAGTAGCTGTGCCCACCACCACAGCCCCCAGGTGCCGTGGGGGGTGGTCTGGCAGCGACCCAGCACTAGTCCGGCAGTGCTCCAGCATCACTCTGACACAACTGGCACCAGACACAGCTTTAGCGACCAGAGCCAAATAAAGGTCTCGAGTGTGGCTCAGAGTGTGGTGGCACCAGCCCCACGGCACGTGTGGGGCTGCCAGGGCAGGCACTGGGCAGGGGGTGATGGGGCACCTGGACCCTCACCATGGGGACCCCTGGGTGCTGCAGGCCACCATGGGACCACTACAGCCACAAAACTGCAGGTTAGAGGACCCTTGGAGACTACTCTGTGGGGTCACTTGGGGGCGGTTCTATGGGGACCCCTGGGAACTCTTGCTCCCTGGGGACCTCCAGGGTGGGGCAGCCTGGCAGAACCCCCCCTCTCCACCCCAAGCGCACAGCTGTGCAGGAAGGGCCCAAAGGCTCATTTATTGGAAGGCACCAAACTGGGGGGGGAACCCTAGGCCTGGGGCTCAGCCCCTCCATCCAGGAGGTACGGGGCACCTGTGAGATGGAAGGGCTGAGCCCCGGGGGTCGGGGTCAGGGAGGAGGGAGTGTGGGAGCCCCAAGGGGTTGTGCATAGCTGGGGTGGGGCTTGCCCTATAGCTTGTGCGTGTATGGAGTTATGGGGCTGTCCCCATGCATAGCTTGGAGTGGGGTGGAGCTCCTTGGGGAGTGCATTGGGGGTGGGGGGCTGCCTTATAGACTGTGCGTATTTAAGAATGGGGGGCTTCCCCCCAGAGTGTGCAGGTTTGGGGCTGGAGGCCTGCCCCATGAGGTGTGCAGGTTTGGGGCTGGGGGGCTGCCCCACAGAGTGTGCAGGTTTGGGGTTAGGGGGCTGCCCCACAGAGTGTGCAGGTTTGGGGTTGGGGGGACTGCCCCATGAACTGTGTGTATCTAGGGGAAGGGGCTACCCCATGGATAGCATGTCTGGAGTTGGGGAGCGACCCCATGGGATGTGCGTACCTAGGGGGGGGCCACCCCACAGGGTGCCTGGGGTGGGGGGCCGGGGCCCTCAGACCCCC